TGACTATGTTAAAGCTACTATGTTAAAGCTACATCTTTTAAAAAGATAAAAGAGTAGTGCTAAGGACTTAGGCATGAAATAATACAATGGGATGAATGTATGGAAAAGTCATAATGTCCCTTAATGGTATGGGAAGTCAATTACAGTTCCACTTTTTTATAGTGTGCAGCTGAAGAAACATGTTCTACTAGAGCTATAATCCATGTTTATGAAAGTACTCTTGCTTCAACTAAAGGTAAACAGGTTTGGATCCAAGCAGCAATTGGATGGGAGACCACCCATATATAAATAGCCCATGCATACTGTGAAAAAGAAGATGGATACAACATATAAAACTGCATGATTTTGTTGAATGATAACTCTACAAAGGTGCTGTCCTTCAAAGTAGTTTGTTAGTAGCTAGCCACATAGCAGTCTTGGCTAATCACGAACTGCTAATCATAATTCATCAATTAGTTGAAATGAACTCAAACACATATAGCAGTTTAACATAAGCTATGGACTCCTGAACATTTATCACTAAAAGCTAACATCTGTGTCTGTACTGATATGTCTGGAACAGCTGTAGGCCCATTAGATATGTTTATCTAAATCTGCTCAGTTTGTCTTTTTTGATTGCAAAGTAAACTTGGAAGGGCTACAAAATTTAGGGGATATTTTGTGATGTCAATTTGGTTCAGGGAATAGGGAAGAATGAGGGCAAAGAAATTCAAACCTCTTTAAATGCAAGAATTGCATCTAGGGAAAAAAACCAAGCCAACTGAACACTTAACATAGTGTATCCTTTCCTCATCTGATTTTTGGAATACATACGTAAGGTCGTAGGCACAACTATGCCTGTTCATATTTGCACAGTACATATGTACAGCTGGCCATGCAGCTGTTACAAAATCATTTAGTCACACATATGTGTCCATTTTCTCCCCAAAATCTCTTTTAAGTCATCCCATTCTTACCAACTTAGAAGTGAAGGGACTAAGTCTTCAATTCATTTTAGTGAAATCTACTAACCAGCCCAATGCTTCTGTCAAGAGAAATATTTATTCAGGATCTTGGGATAAGATATAAAAACCCCACATAAACAAATGAAGAAGCAAAGTGGTTTGAACTACAAATTGTCATTCAAAGAAGATTGTAGAAAGAGTTATAATTTTCAGGGAAGAAATTCAACATTGGAAACTTTCTTTTTCCAATGGAATGGAGGGAGGGGTTTTCCTGTATCCACCAAATCTGAAAACCCAATTGCCTTCCCTAAGTAACATGGATTCTATACCAGCCTAGGTGTGTGTGTGTGTGTGTGTGTGTGTGTGTGTGTGTAGGTATATATATATACACACACTCTCATACACATTTTAAGTAGCCCTGAGAAAATAACCAATTATTCTCCTTCAATCCTCTAGGAGGAGACTAGCAGAAGCTATTGAGCTTTTGGGATATTCTGGCATTTGAACCTACAAAGGAAAGCCACAGGTTTACTGTGCCCAACTGCAGTTCTATTTAGTGAATAAGATGGAGACGTATGCCAACAGTGATTTATAATAAAGTATCATTTTCCTGTTTTACATATCCTCTTCTATACACATACCTTTACAACTAAGCATGGCTCTGATATAAAGATACACTCTATTCAGGATAATTCATTCCAGGTAAAATAGGCCAAATTTCAACTAAGGAGGCTCTACATTTCCTTGCCCTATCCCTCCATATTTCCATCTCTTTTTATGGGTTGTTAGCATAAGAACTCAACATTCTTTAACTTCCTGGATTAAACAAAAGAAAAAGTTGTATTCCAAAGGCACTGTTGTTCTCTGACATTGTGTCCTTGTTAGTCATGTATGAAGAGGGGTCTTCAAATGCAAGTGCTAACAGCACCAATCAATCACACAGTTATGATAATCAATATAACTGTACCACTTTTCTGATTTCATTACAAAAAGAAGTTTTGAAGGACAAACATAGGATGTCTATGCAACATTTTAAAGCAGTCCCGTTTTTCCTAAGATCATGCAGCTGAAACATGATTTTGGGAAGAGATGTAGCTGTTGCATAATACAGTTATAATATGACACATTTATACCTCATAGTTTTTTTATTCAAGAATACTAATCATTCGCTCGTATATTTATTGGTTGTCTTGTTCTTACTGTGTCTTCAGAATACTAAGGAATAGCATATAGAAGAAGGGCTTTCATTTTTTTTTTGCAGAGGATAGAGACTAAGCTCCAAATTCAGACTGTATATTGTGTCATGTGCCAAAAATTACCTGCTAAGATAAAATCTGTTTGCTAAAATCTGAAACCAACTGAATTCCAGTGGGGGTTTCTATCTTGCCTGTATCTCTTAATCTGTGGAGATTTGGTAGTTCCAAAAGAAAAAAAAGGCAGGCTTAATGCAGTAGATCTTAAAAGGCAGAACTGTTTAATAGCCTTGCATGTTCAAGAAAAGCAAAAAAGATTTGGCACGCTATTTGTTTCTTTTGGGATAGTCAATGCACAACAAGGCACATATCTCTACAAAAAGAGAAAAGAGCCATTAGAGTGATCTACCAAGAGGAAGCTGAACTAGATTGTGGAATTGGATTTCTGAGGTAAAGTGCCTACTTTGTGTATCCACGTTCTTTGCCCTTCATACTATTAAAAGGGGAAGTTAGATTTCAGAACAGATATGAAAAGGCTTCTGTCTGTATATATGAAGGTTGCTGCCAGATCAAAGAATGTTAAACTAGGTGGGCCAATGTTAAACTAGGCTCAAAATCAGGAAGGCCACAGGTACCTCCACCCACCTCCATGTTTTCTTTCTAAAACAATTTAGGAGTCCATTGGATATGTTACTAGCTCTCCCTCTGGCTTTTTTTATGATTATTGTTATGTGATGTGATGGCAACATCCCATAAACAAGATATGATTCTAGTTGTTCTGTAAAAAGTTTTTAAATAGAAAGCAAAAATGTAATTAACTTTCCTCAATCTGTTTGTAGCATCCTATTTAAAATTGCTACTAAGTTCTGTTGACAGCTAAAATGTCAAGGTTAAAATAGAAGTTTTCTGATGAGGCAAACCATTAAAACTGGTATGATGACAGAAAAGTGATCAGAATAGCAACACTTTGTGCAGACTGCCAAGCTTCCCTAATCATCTCTTGGTTGAGAAAGGAAATTAATTAGCATTCCTAACTAACATTCCCCAGGAAGTATTCCCATTACTTTCTAAGTATATATTTATATATACGTGTGCGTGCATACATATGATGGAGAGGTTTCTTCTCCACAGTTTTAATTCAGAGAAACAAGATGAGCAGCTAAACAATCCCCATGAACAGCCCAGTCAACTGTTTAAAACTCTATCAGCTTTCAAATGCCACCATTTCTTTAAATCAGGTCTATCTGAATATCGTCAGAATAAGAATAAAAAAACCCAACATGAATCTTGTAATACAGATACAGAGAGAGGAAATTGTTCAGTTCCAGTTTTGTTTTGGGGTTTTTTTTGCCCAAAAGCTTTTGGTGATTCTTGTTAGCTTGTAGAATACCTCCCCACCATCCTATCCCCATAGTACTTTTATATCCCTTTAATGTTTGAAAACAGAAAATAGTAGGGTGCTTTGGTGGCTGTACATCACTCGACACAGGAATAACATTCAGCAAAATTCTACCTCTGAGAGCAGCTATGTTTTCATATAGATTGCTCCCCACTTTGTGCATTAAGGCCACTAAGGGATTTTTTTTTTTGCTTGCTTGCTTCCCCTTTTAATGCAACAGAGGTAACAGCTTCTTAACACACAGTGATTGGTTTACCAGTTTGAAGAAGAATGTAGAGCATGTGGCATCATCAAAGCAGCATCCCTTGGAAAATGAATGAATATGTCAGACCATTTGCCTTGTTTGCTTCTAATTAGGTCCACTCATCAGTGTGGCTTATCTGGCTCCTTTAAGCAAGGGTTTATATGACTTTACTGGTTTCAGTCAAACCCAGAAAGAGAAAAATAGAAGAGGTTTAAAAAAAAAATCCTTACTGAGCAAGAGAAGAATGCATCTGAGCAAGAAAACAAGGGCATGATCAAATATAGTCTTGATGTGGTCACCAATACTTGGATAGAAATGTGGTTATTTTTCTCTTTGGGTTCCATCCCTTAACTTCTCACTTTGATCTTCATGTTGTCAGTTTTGATAGCTATAAACCTGGTCCACATTTCTTTTCTCCCCACTCAAGAGACCCTCCAGGAGGTTGCCTCAAAACAAATGTTCACTTTGTCCTCTAAACACCATATGTCTCTTTGTTTCAGGCCCAACATTCCTGCTCTTTCTGCCTTCTTTGAATCCTTCATCACTCTGTAACATATCTGGCTGGTCTCCTTGTTTTTTTTCCTGATTTCAGATGTGCTTAAATAGGGTAAACTGGTGACTGAAGGGAAGAAGATGTGCAAGAGCAGAAAGAGAACTAATGTAGGTGGGATCGTGAAAGAAGCGCATAGGATAAATGTCAGAGGCATCTGAAAGAGAAGTCAAGCAATTGATTTGGACTGATGTCTTCAGTGGTGAGATTCAAATATGTGAACAACTGGTTCTCTGTGTGGATGCTGCTTCCGGAAGTCCATTCTGGGCCTGGGCAACAAAAAATTAGCTACTGATTCTGCCAAAGTGGTGTGAACCGGCTGAATCCCACCACTGGAAGTCTTTCTTCATTCTTGCCTCAGTTCAGAATCAGCAGCCCACTATCAGTCCAGGAGATTTTAAGAAGCACATACAGTATAAACAAGACATCCATCCCCTCCGTTTCCTTTTATCATCTTATTGTCTGTTACTAGCAAGAGCTATTGGATGAAAATACTAGGACAGTAGGGTAGAGAGGAAAAAATAACTAAATCAGTGTTTACAGGATTGTTCCAGTGACCCCAGAAAGAATGAGCTCTATTTTTCCTTCACATATTCTTCTTCCAAGAGGCACCAGTGGGATAGGGGAAGTGAGGAGCTAACTCAGAATGCTGCTGCCCCTTCTCCCTCCTTCACACTGGTGAGCTAGCAGTGGATTCACTGTAAAGGCTTTCCACAATGTCCCCCCTTTGGATTTTGCGCAAGGCTGAATAAAGGGCATCCATGGTGGAACTGTCCTTGCTGGACCAATCAGAGAGCAGAGCACGAACAGGGTACTCCTCTTGTGTAAAGGAGTCTATGTGATCTTCCTTGTAGCCTAGTTCTCCAGCCAGGTGGCGCCATGTCTCCTCTGTGGAACCATTCAACAGCTTTTCAACCTCCTCACGTTTGTTAGGGGGCAGGCTGGTATAAAGATTCCCATCTCCTTTAAGACCTGAAATTGAGAAATGAGTTTGGGATAGAGAAAGGTTAAAAAAACGATTATAGCTGCATGTGAGACACTCACCTATTCCATGTTCCCAAAGTGGGTTTTAGTTAGAAATAGTAGATGGCTGGAAGCCATTTTAGATTCCCCACAATGCCCCAGAACAATATGACAAACGAAAATGAATAGCTTATACCATAGGTGTCAAACTCGCCACATCACGTGATATGTGGCGACATATTGCGATGTTTTTTACATTGCTGGAGCTGTGGTGGGTGTGGTCTCCGTATGATGCAACCGGCCTGCAGGCTGGCAGTTTGACACCCCTGGCTTATACAGTACAACAGTCCTCAGCAATTGTGCATGCTCCTGGGGGGAAGCCCAGGAGGGAAAGGGGAAACGATCAGGTATTATTGTGGGAGCCATAGATAGTCCTTTATTGTGGGAGACCCAGCATTTGGCTCAGAGTCTTTTTGGTCCAAGTCAGTTTCATGTGAATTTATTCCATCCTATTTCTGTATTAACTGGCAAAAAATAATAATAAAAGATTGGCACAAAAATGAGTAAGTATTGTAGATGCATTTCACAGTAAAATATTACATTTATTTGCATTTCATGTAAAATTCCTTTGATGATATATTCTTTTTAGCACATATTGTAATGTGTTTTTCAAATAGCATTAGAACATTCTGAAAAATATGGAATTATTGAAGTTTTATTCTGTGATTTATAAGAAATATAAATAAATCAATATGCTTTCAAGGGTAAACCATATTCAAGATTTGGATGGAGGTTTTTCTTGATAATTTCATGAACTTCACTGGGCAAGGCAGAATATGAATTGTTCTAAATAATCCAGGTAAGTTTATATCCACCATTATTTTCACACAGACATCAATATTCAAGCCACTTTTAATATTCTGATGTTTTTTCTTTGCCTGTATTACAATTAGTGTTGTAACCACTGTATTCTGAACATCTCTCAAATTAAAAAATGTATAAATCTTCCTTTTAGTTCCAGGATTTCCCATTTGGTTCAACCCCAATGCATTTGTAGAAAGAAAGAATGGTGGATCCAAATTCTGAGAGATCATCATCTGAGCACAAGTGGGCTTGCAAATGATAAAGGACAAAACTACTCATTCACCCTTACCATACAGCTCTTTCTAAGCTCCAGCCATTTAGCCTGAAGGACAGACAGCCTTCTGTGGAATATAGTGCAGGTTGCTGTGTGTTCTGGGACTCCGGATGGCATGGAGAGCTATGACATTTAAAATAATCCTTGTTCAACTTATCTTCAGGTCTCCCAGCTGAACATGTGGAGAGCAGAAAAAGAGGACACGGCTGCCTGTGAAAACCCACAATCAGGCCCAGGGAAGTTCAAAGAACAAAAGATTGTGGTGTTCTTGAGCTTCTTAGGTAAGAAGTGACTGAGGGCTGGGTTTAAATGCATTTCTCCAGCCTCTTTGGCTTCTCATACCTCAAACCAAGTATAAAGCTCAGGCCAAAATTCTTTTCATATGGCTTTTTCAGAAGTGATGTTCTTGTCTTCACAGAATGGGAATCCTATCCTTTGTAGGAGAGTTCACTTAGAGAAACTCAAAGAAATGATCTACCAAGTTCCTCCACTCATGAGTATGTTGGAGAATTTTGAAAGGCCGTTTGAGCCCAGTTCAGTTCAGGTCTCCATGCAGTTTTTGTTACTCCCAACAATCTGGGTCTTTGTTTTACACATCTTGGAAGGATGGAAGGCTGAGTCAACCTTGAGCCTGTCAGAATCGAACCCCAGGCTATAGGCAGAGTTTGCCTGCAGTACTGCATTTTAACCACTACATCACCAGAGCTCCTGCTGTTTGCTTAACAAATGCCTTATTTTTCCTAAACTATGAGGGTTTTTTTAAAAGTATGATCTGAATCGTTTATGCCGTAATCATGATACTGGCTGTAAAACCCTTGAGTTTATCTTTTTTAAAAATTCCAAGTTTTTAACCCAAAATAATCCATTTATGATGAAGTATAGAGGAAGTAGAATGAGAGTTGACATAATTTTTACAAGAATAATTTAGTTTTATGTCCTTAAGTGTAAAAATGTCTCCCAATTACTAGGCAAAATATGGTTTTAGTGACCATACCTATTTGCCTAATAGAAGTAAACTAGCTTTCATGCCAATTGCACAGAAATTCATCCATCTGGAGTGAAAATTATCTTGACTTTTAGCGTAGGAAACAAAAGAAATGCAGTTTCGATAGCTGTGGTTTCTATTCTGCAGCTATTTGTATTTCATCTGGACTTAAACTACTAGTATAAATATTTTGAAACATGATAGAATATGGGCAAGAAACTCAGTTTGGTGTAGTGGTTAAGGCATTAGGTCAGAACCTGGGAGACCATGAGTTCTAGTCCTGCCTTAGGCACAAAGCCAGTTGGGTGACCTTGAGTCAGTCACTCTTTCTCAGTCCTAGGAAGGAACCAATGGCAAACCCAGTGGTGGGATTCAAATATATGAACAACCGGTTCTCTGTGTGAATGCCGCTCCATTCTAAACCTGAGCAACAAAAAAATTAGCTACCGGTTCTGCCGAACTGGTGCGAACCGGCTGAATCCTACCACTGGGCAAACCTCTAAAAAACCTTTCCAAAAAGACGCAGGAACTTGTCCCAGCAGTTGCCAGGAGTCAACACTGACTTGAAAGCACTAAAACAATAATGGATTTTTTCAAACTATGTCCTGGGACTGAAAACTGAGTCTAAGTTCATCATCAAGCAAACACTGTCCTACAGTATTTCTTGGGAAACTAATAATTTTCCACACTTTCAATTAATATTAATATCTATAAAGTAGCGAGAAGACCAGCCTTCTTTCCAAGAAAGGGTGACAAATGTGTTTAGCTTTATCTTTGAAAGAAACTTGATCAGATTTTGTATTCTTAAAACAAAACATAGATAAAAAATGAGATACCCCAAATTTTCAAATCTCTGAAAACTACAATTGAAAGAGATATATGTTAGAGAAAAGTCTAACCACAAATACATATATTCATGAATTATATACAAAATGATATTATATTACTAATTATCTACTATACTAGATAATTATTTGTAAAACCTGTGTATGTAAGTAAAATAGATAACAAAAAACATTTAGAGCAATGTGCACCACCATGCACACAAATTTTACTACAAACTAAAAATTAGAATTTCCAGAGTGACAAATTTAACTTGACATGTGTGCCCTCCTCCAAAACAATGAAATGAAAAAACACTAAATCTGATATTTGGGGGGGGGATGTGAAACTTGAAAGCAGAGGAATAAAGGTATTTGCCCCACCTTGCTTATTTTCCCCATTGTAATTTTACTTGATTTGTTAGTTATAGTTGGCATCAACAAACACTTGTATATGCTTGCTATCTGCCTGGGGCAAACTATAGGTGGGATTGGTTGGTTTACAGGACAAGCAACAAGAGGGATGTGATCTAGAAAGTAGATGGTTCTTGGATTAACTGTCCTCTTGGTGTCTGCCAGGGCTACAGTATCTTTTGATAATCAGTGGTTTCCTTTCTTTCTGAATCGCATTTCTGCTCTTTGGTTTCTTCCCCTCCCAGCTTCAACTTGACCCCTCCTCTTGCCTTGTAGAGATGCTGCTTGTGTTGGTGGCTGTTGATCGTGGAGGCTTTGGCTGTCAACTGAGATGCCACTGTCACTATGAAGTTTCTCTCCTTCTGGGGAAGGCGTCTGGTTGACAGGACGGTTGTTGGCACCTTGTTTGTTCTGTTTGCAGCTGTTCCACCTAGAGGTGAAAATGTTTGACAGTTGAGCGAAGGATACCTGTTCTTTCTTCTGACCCATGGAGTAAACTATAAAATTGGCAGGGTCACTAAGAATTAATTCCTTTCTACACATCATGAAGTTTGGAATGTGCCCAGACAGAACTTTCACTCCAACGGATTAGTTTGCCAATCCAGATAAGGGTGTTTTCATTTATATTAGCTCCTGAAAGTCACTTCAATTGCCAACACTGATTGTGAATTTGTAGCATTATGCCTAAAATGGGGCAGATGTGAGGCATTACTAAACCTAGTGGTCCTAGCAGACAATCAAATACGAGCCAGCAGTGTGCTGCAGCTGCCAAAAAAGCCAACACAGTGCTATGCTGCATTAACAGAGGGATAGAATCAAGAAATATTAATACCATTTTACAATGCCTTGGTAAGGCCACACTTGGAATACTGCATCCAGTTTTGGTCGCCACGCTGTAAAAAAGATGTTGAGACTCTAGAAAGAGTACAGAGAAGAGCAACAAAGATGATTAGGGGACTGGGGGCTAAAACATATAAGAAAAGGCTGCTGGAATTGGGTATGTCTAGTTTAATGAAGAGAAGGACAAGAGGTGACATGATAGCAGTGTTCCAATATCTCAGGGGCTGCCTCAAAGAAGAGGGAGTCAAGCTATTCTCCAAAGCACCTGAAGGCAGGACAAGAAGCAATGAATGGAAACTAATCAAGGAGACAACCAACCTAGAACTAAGGAGAAATTTCCTGACAGTTAGAACAATTAATCAGTGGAATAACCTGCCTCCACAAGTTGTGAATGCTCCAACACTGGAAGCTTTTAAGAAGAGACTGGACAGTCATTTGTTCTGAAATGGTATAGGGTTTCCTGCCTGAGCAGGGGGTTGGACTCAAAGACCTCCAAGATCTCTTCCAACTTCTTCTTTTTCTTCTTCTTCTTCTTCTTCTTCATCATCATCATCATCATCTGCCCTGACAAATATGACAAGTGGTAAGGAATCATGGGATTTGGAGCCCATCAAAATCTGGAGGACCCATCAATACTAAGATGCTTTCTAAGTAAGAGCTGAGCACAAGCAGGGTACTCAGGAGAGCAAGAAGCCATTTTTATAAGAGCTTGGAATTGGGTCAATGAGCTCCTAAAGAGTTAAAGAGATTCAAGAATATGTACGCATATGGTAATGGTGTCATCTAACATTGATGATCCAAGGTATTTGAAGTGGAGGATGGGGGAAATGATTGACTTGGATTCACAACTGATCTACTTTCTTATTTCCTATTTGCTTTTTCTTAATCTTTTCCTAGGCCCAGTCCATATGTTGCTGATTACAAGGTAAAGCAATCATATGTTTCTTATTACTTTCAACTCTTATTCTTTGCGAAGGAAGTACAGTAGGCATCAATGGAAAGGAGAAGTGGCAGGAACATGGGATCTTTGGGTTACACTTTAGGAAATGCTTTCCAATTTAACCCAAGACAACTGGCTTTCTAAAAGCAGAATATTTTATATTTAGTGAGCTTATTTTATAAAGGTTGAAATATAAGATAATGGATTTTATCTTATAACAGAAACTGGCAGCATTCTTGCAAAAAAAAGAGAGAGAGAGAGTAATGTCTATAATGCTTCTATGCCTTTATCAACCAATTGAGCTATTGCAATCAGCCAGAGATAATAATTCATAGCATGGATATAATCATTATCATCTTCCCATTCTTTTATGGTCACTTAAAAGTTGGTAATCTTAGAGACAAGATGTTCCTGGATTGGCATTAAGAAGGATCTAATTTCTAAAACAGCAACTTAGAAATTTCAATCCTGAACAGTTGTTTCTAGAGGATGCTCATCCTTGCCACTCAAGAATAATTGCATGTGGCCAGCTCTGAAATTATTGAAGTACATCTATTTGGCTTTATAAAGATGCCTATCACTTAAGGGAAGGGTGTGAAATACGGTAGAAGGGGGATGGGAGCAGAGAATGGTTCCATTCTTCTCTGTTGCATGCCAGAGACATGGCCCCTGAGCTCCACCAAAAGATGCTTATTAGAAATTATTAAAATAAGAAGAATAATCATCATATGAAAATAAATCAAATTAATTTGCATCCTATCCCCATTTACTTTCTTGAGAGTTTTCCAGGAATTACATTTAAAAGTCAAATATGGTCTGCGTACGGCATGAAAAATGTTGCGCATGTGTTGTAAGCGGATACTCATGAAGTGGCTTCCTTTTCAGCTGCTACCTTTTTCTACTTTCCCTCTTAGCCTCCCCTGCTTGCAAATTATGTGGGGTTGAAGGAAGACAACAGTATTTAGGCCCTAGAAGACTGTTCAAGCATAGTCAATGATATGGCTATTTTTACACACTATTTCCTTGAAAGGAAAATGAGAGTTGCATGCAAACCATCATATTGCCATTGGTAATGCTGGGGTTTATAGTTTTAACTGCAAAATGTGCTCAGTCATGACTATGTTTTACCACAGTCAGCCAAAATTACATCCTTAGAACAGGTACAAGAAATAGTTTGAATAACTGAAGGATATCTAGTCAGTGAGCGAGATCAACCTTAGGCACCGCCTGTCACTGTTCATATATCACAACACTCCTCCTGCACACTTGTCTTCCAGACTCTCTCTGACTACTTACCTCTTGAAGGCAATATATGCCACCAGACCCACAACCACAGCTGCCAAAATGGAGCAGTAGACAGGGATGAGGTTATCGGCTGTCCCACTTCGAATGACAGGCTGGGAGCTGCCCATAATTGTGGTCATTGTAGTGCTCACTACAGTGGTCTCCAAAATATCCAGAATCTCTGAAGAATTTGTAATAGGAAAAGGACTTTTGGGAGTCCCTGGGTAAAAATCTGGAAAGGTAAGGAAACAGAAGAATAATTGTGGAGTACAATATGCAAAAGATGAGGTTACATTTAGGTTAATCTATTTTTCCTTGGTATATATGTTGTATGTTTAATATTAGTGATCTAAAAGCCAATAATTCAGATGTTGGCCAGTGCTGAATCTACTCAGATTCAAGTTTACATTTAGCTACAGAATCTTTCTGAGTGACTTTGGACCTTTCACTATCCAATCTATCTCACAGGTTTGTTGTAGGGAAAAGAGAGAGAGAAGAAAATGTTATGTTTACCACCATGATGGTGGTGGATAACAATCTAAACTATTACAAGAGCAATACAGATTCATGTCTATATAGAAAATCAGAGTTTTGTATAATATGAAACAGAAATACACAATGTTTTTCTTTACTAATCTGGATGTTTTTTGCCTGAATTTGCAGATATTTAGTGATCTACTTCATGTCAAAATTTCTTAATCATTCTTATATCCTTATGGGCTAGAAAATAGAATATATCCATATTTATCATAAGCATTCTAAAAATCCAGAATAAAATAAAGCTGGAGGAACATTTCTATACTGGGAATTTAAAGAAGTTCTCTTTTTGGCTCCAAACGAGGTCACTGATTCGTTAGTACTTGCAATCACATCATATTATATTACCTACAAATGAAGCTATAACAGTTAGTTATACTTGTATGGCTTTCCTCCAAAATGCTTGAGAATAATAATTCCCTGAGGGCTCAGAAATGTTGTTTTAGTCTGTGGTCTTAACCATTTTATGCAGTTAAAGGTTTCAGTAGGATCTTTGTTGGAGTGAGACCAACTAAGCAAATTAGGAACTATTTCAGCAATGTAAGGAAAAGACAACAAGATACCATGTTCTACATCTATGACTGCATCTGGGTCTATAACTACATCTGGGTCTATGAATGCATCTGGGTCTGCATCACTCGTATTGGAATCCGTCAGGGTCTTCGTTGCCACAGCAAATTGTGGATTAGTTGCTGCCAAGAAAACAAGGAGGAAGAATTTAACAAAAGAGAGTGAAAAACTGTGAGACAATTAGGAATGTATCACTTAATTAACATTTCAGTAATTAAGCAAGTGTGAACATGATCAAAAGTTCCCACCCCATCTTTGCTGAAACAATGTAATTCCCTCAAAAGAATTTTGTTTATTTAACAAGGCTTATAGCTGCTCCAGTCTGGAAGGACTCTGGAGAATGAACCACTGATAATAGAATAAAAATGAAAGAAATGAAAACATCAAGACAATGTAATCATTAATTTAGCAAAGTTTCTATGGTAGATACCCACAGTCAATCAGGGCCAGAGGTTTGTTGAAGAGGGATTGATTTTTCTTGCTTATGAAATATAAGAGTGATAGGAATCATATATAACTTCAGGAAAAGTGAGATTAAAAAATGCAGGCCTCTATTAAGAAGGTGCCACCTGTCTCATGATTCATGTCACCTCTTGAGGAAGAGAATTCTCAATGACCCTCTCTTGATGTAAGAACCAGACAGGCAGATTCAAGATTGACAAGATGTTGCCTGATATATCCCTGTGTTACATTTCTGTACAGTTTAAAAAGTAATAACCAGCACTTTTAATTGGACCAGAAGCCTACTACTGTAGTGTCAGTGCAACAAGGGGAGAGTTCTGTAAAGTAGGGGGAGAATTCTGAGTTCTCTGGCACCTGCTAGTAGCAGTGAGCTTAAGTACTTCCTTTCTATTGCCCCAGTTGGAACTACCCACAAAGATAGGAGAGAAGTCATCATAAAGTGATGAGTCTAACTCTGATCATTGTTAGTAATTTTACATCTATGGCTTCCCTCCAGAAAATGTTTGGAACGATACCTCTCTGAATGGTTCCAAAATGTTGTTTTAGTCTGTAGTTTTATTTATTTCATGCAGTCAAGTAAGGTCCTCATGGGAGTAGACCAACTGAGCAAACGAGGAACTATTTCAGCAGTATAAAAAAAGGAAAACAAGGTACCGTGTTCCACATCTGCGATTACATCTGTATTTGCATCTATATTTATATTGCTGGTATAGGGATCCATCGGGTCTTTGGTTGTCATCGCAAATCTTGGATTAATTGCTGCCAAGAAAACCAGGAATAACTTAGTAAAAGAGAACGAGAAAGTGTGGCAACTGGGAAGTTTAGAAATGAATCACAACTTAACTAAAAATTTAAGAAATGAAGCAGATATGAATACACAGAAATTCTCACCACAGCATAATTCTTGCAAGAAAAAGTAGTTGAGAAGGTCAAACATGTGACACTATTTCAGAAGGCAGGCTGAAGCAGTGGCAGATGTGAAGGATTCTCATTTTGCTACACAGTTTGCTTTATGGTCTTAAGTAAGTTGATATCCAGCCTTTTAATTTGTAATACTTACAGACTGCCATATAAGGGATATTCTGAACAGATCACTTTTTCCCTCCTACACTAATAAATCACTTAGTAACAATATATATATAAAATAATAAGATAGCCATCAAATCACAGAGCGAAACTATTCCAAAACCATTACACTAATAAAATACAGGGAACAATTTTAAAGGTCAAGATGTGCTTGTTTTTCTTAAGGGAAAGGTAAGCAATCATAGTTCTGGAGGAAGTAGAAAACTCTTTCTCAACATTTCTGATGCTTAGTCCCTGTGGAAACCTCGCTGGTAAATCATATTAACTGGTCAGATTCAAAACAAGATTGGTGGTCCTTAGAAAGTCAGAAATCCCATACAATATCTTCTGAAATTTGTTCCTTCTTTTCCAGATAATCTGTAAAGAAGTGTTTCTCAACCTTGGCAACTTTGTGGCTGGGAATTCTGAGAGTTGAAGTCTATATATCTCAAAGTTGCCAAGATTGAGAAAATCTGCTGTACTGGCTCTAAATGTGATGGAGGTTTTGGGAAAGAAGAGGAAAAAAACCTGTCCCATAATATCCTTTCTGGCACCTTTTGTCCATCTAATATTATGTGGGTATCTTGGTAGGGCAAGATCTGTCTTTTGATTGTTTTATTCCAAAGAAGAAACCCAAATGCCACACAGAGAGAAGAGTTTCCTATCCAACTGCAGGCTGCCGCTCCCCTTCTTTGAGTGGCTCTTATGAAATTTAGCCATGCCTGAGGGAACAGTTGTACCTTCTGCCCTGCAGCCTGCATAATTTTTCCCCGCCTGGAAACAGCTGACGTCAGAGCAGTACTGACTTCTGACTCATCTTCAGGCAATATGTTCCAGCCATTATCTTTCTAGCCATTGGCTAGAGGCCAGCATTTTCTTCTCTTCTTCTAACAGGTAAAGAACACCCATTATTTGTTATTTTCTGGTTTGAAAATTACTTTTGGTGCTACTGGGTTGATTGTGGTATCCTTTGGAAGTTCTTTGCTCCAATTTTCTACAATTCTGCCATGCTTGGCTTAAATATCTACATATGACCAAAGATGCTTTCCCAGTTATTCTTGTAAATTCCTCTACCTTTATTGCTATACACTATATTAGTACATAAATAAATCTCTACCATCAAACCTTATGAGAGCAGGACTTCCATAGAACAGTCAATTATGCAAATTAATAACATACAGTACTGGCTTTGGTGTAACAATCCTAGTTTAAAGAGAACCAGTTTGGTCTAGTGATTAAAACACACTAGGCAAGAAGCCAGGAGACTGTGAATTCTAGTCCCACTTTAGCCATGAAAGATGCTGGATGTCTTTGGGCCAGTCACTCTTTCTCAGCCCAACTCACTTGACAGAGTTGTGGGGAAAAGAGGAGGGGTATCATATATGTTTGTCATCCTGAGTTATTTACAAAAATAATAAAGGCAGGATTTTTTTAAAAAATCTAAAAAATAAAAAGAAAGAACCAACCTTGTATATAAGCAAGAATGCTTATCTTGCTAGCTCACAAAAAAAACAATCAAAGAAGAGAAGTAATAGTATAGGAATGAAAAGAAGAAACTCCAAGTATTTTGTAAAACTGTTCTGAATATAAAGCTCAATATATTTTGAGTGAGTCGTTTCTCAGAATCCTCCTTATAACCAACCTAGAGGAAACACTGTCCAATCTTGTGGACCTCTCTTTATAATCAATTTCACAAAGTACAGTACTTAGTGTGGCCTGAGTATCCTATGATATCTAAACTGTTTAAGGACTTTCTCCAAACCATGATATAACATACTGATTTTAATAAACTGGACACATTAAAAAAAATGAAAGAACTGACCAAATAGATTTTTCTGAAGGGTCTTCATTGGACAAATGACAACTATCAGTTCCATTAAATATGTTTGCTGCTTGAGATATTTGTAAAAATAATAAAGGCAGGATACAAACAAACAAACAAACAGAGAGAGGTGGGTTTAATTCTTTCAATATTATCATTAGCATTTAATTCAGCTTTGGGTTTTGGTTATAGGAACTTGAACTCTTCTTTAGTTCAGTCAAGATTTATTACTTTAACACATTGAAATTCTGGCTAATACTGAGAACCTTGTTTGTATTTATTTCAATATCCACATTTAATATCTTCAATATCTACATTTAATGTTGCAAAGTACAGATGAAAATTACTTGGTTGCAGACATCATGTTGACTTGTTTACCCCTCAAAAACGTAAATTAAGCATCTTAATCAATGCCTGTGATAAACTGGCTTTGTCACAATATAATTAACCAGGATCACCTTAGTTTCAAGGAAGCTGGTTTAACATAAAATTTAAAAAACAAGTTTTGTTGAACTCAGAATGTTCTTGGCAGTGTATTTAGTTTAATCATCTGTTATTTGGTTTATTTAGTCCAGATGCTATCACTGCCTCAGAAATTATAAGTAATTAGAGGTTTTGGAAGAATTAATAGTGGCTCTTGGGCCAAACCCCCATTTTTATAAAAAGCTGAAGAAAAATGATGAAATTGACATATGTTATATTTATGCATCACATAAATAACAGGCCTGTTATTTATTAACAGGCCTGTTATTTATTAACAGGCATGTTATTTATTAACAGGCATGTTATTTATGCATCACATAAATAGGCATGTTGCTTCATCTTTTTAAATTCATAGAAGATCACTGCAAATAATGTGAAATCAATCTTTTATGATCTTAAAATGAGATTAAAACAACAAAAATGTTTGTGTATACAGGACATCTGAGAACATTTTCAATAAACCATAGTTATTTTATTTAGCTTACTCTTGGAGTAAGCTAGAGTTCAAAAGTTAGAATAACAATTCATACTGCTTAGTTTTATTGTTGCATTTGGAACTAAAATCAGCAGGATTGTTCATGTCACTCTACATTATTGTTATATTTACCTTAGACGTTCTAGCTGCTGTAAGTCATTATAAGTCAAAATGAAAATGAAATAGACATTCAATAGATAAATAAGTAAACAAATTGTATGTTAAAAATCCGTTAGACTTTTGAGAAAAATGGTCAATTTTTGGAGCTGTTCTATTTACAACTTATTTTTTTAGCCCCAGTTTTTTTTCTTCCTCCTTTTTTTATTCTTATTCTTATTTTCGAAGTTATACAGTTTCATAAATACTGATGATACTGTTGTATAGCTGTATTTGTATTTTCTTTTTGTTTATTTACTTCATTATATAAAAAGATTTTAGCCTTTTTTAAAAAAAAACATTACTTTTAATAAATTTGGGTCCCACTGTTACCCTGAGTGCTAGCCTGCTAGCCTATTATCAATACCTGCTGTGAAGGAAGAGAAGGGGAAAGAGAAAGTGGGCAGGGGACAAGATTTTCTATCTGTCTCTAGATCACATTTTCTCTGATTGGAGTGGTTGCATCTGAATCAGTGAAGTTGGAATGCCAGAAACCTTTGTAGCCAATCTTGAAAAAGAGCTCAACATAACAAAAACTGAAAGGTTAAAGCTTGTTGAAGACGATCCAGGAACTCTGTTGTTCAGCTAGGATCAGAGCCAGCTTGCAAATCAAATCACATCAGTTCTGGCATTTATCATATAAACATATTTGTTTTATTTTCAGATACAGTAGTGGGCATAGAACTGTAATTTTGTTTTGTTTCTTTAAGTCAGCTTTGATTTTTTCCCCACAGCTCAAACTTAAAACTCTTCGGTTTAACCATGCTTTACTGGATAGACCACAATTGGCTCAGTTCACCCTAAACTGGGATATCAAAACCACAATGGCTGAGTTCAGACACTGAATTACAAACAGTTAAACCACACTATAGCTTAGCACAAGTGTGAATGTAGTGGGTGGTTATCTTTATCTTCTGTTTGTTTGTCTTGTGTCTGTTTTATTACATCCAACTTCTACAGCCTCAAAATAAAGCTGAAGAATGAGATACCTTGAAGAGACATTTATAAGCCATTTCCCCTTGTTATGCTTTTCTGCAAATCACCCCTGCCCATTTCCCATTGCCCTTTCTTCCATAAATAAAATATACAGATATCTGTACTTTGATAATAACTCTACTTGCTACTATTCTGCAAAGTGGGCCATGCGTGAAGGCTTGGGATGACAAGAAATCAATCTCATATTGGAATTCCTATCTTTTTAATAGAAATGTTGCCAAGCAAAAGAGATTGGTTTCCATGTCCTATATTATACTGTCAAATTTCTGCTTTCCACTATGAGAAATAAAACACATCAAATAAACATTGGGATTCTGAGAATCCCAATAAATATTCTAATGACTTAATAAGCAAGCATTAGATAATTGATACAGCTAAGATTAGGCAGAAGATGGGTATAGTGACATTTAATATATAGGCTCTTTTCCAATGGTTGCGAAAAAACGGGGAAAGTGGGATTTGGTAGGAGGACCAGCACCAAAATCTATACAGTCAGGTCCATGCCCGAACCCACCATCCACATTTCACTGTTGATCCGGCCCAAATCTTCTCCATGCTATTGCCAATTGTTTGCTAGACATAGACAAGAACAGATATGAGGAGGAGAAGGAGGCAGACAAGTCTCTATTAGTCTTATCCTATGACTCATGTGATGATAGAGGTTGGACCAACAAGGAAAGATCCTATGTGCAATAGTAATGATGGCAGGCCCAATCAAATGGGGAAAGTCTTTTAAGAATATGCTTCTAAACCAGACATGTCAAACTTACGACATCACATGACATCGCACGATGTATCAGAACTTTTTTCCCATTGCCGGCAATGGGATGGGCGCGGTTTCCTCATGACGCATCCGGCCTGTGGGCCGGCAGTTTGATACCCCTGTTCTAAACAGTCCTCTAATTATAACACTGGCACTGAATGCTAAGTTCAGAACTACACCAGATTATTATGTTTTACAGTACTGTTTGCCATTCCCCTGGCAGAAGAATAGCAGGAGATCTTGTTTATCTTCATGCCATAGAACTGTTAACTTTTGCAGGTCAAGACATACTTAGGAAGTAAGAATAGAGCAGGTTGATTTCTGTTTGTGTGTTATCAGTCACAGGAAAAACGAACTTATCTGCTTCTGTGTTCTGTGTCAAAGGATGGGCTTCATCTTCTGCCCAGGAGAGAAAAATTTGGATAGTTTGCACTTGTGTCAGAAGCACCGAGGGGCTTCTGGATTGAAAGGATTAGCTGGTGACATCATTTTCTCCTAGTTGGGGAGTTCTTTCATGTCCCCAGCAGGAGCTGGAGTGAAGGATGGAAGTTCAACCCTGAGCCCCAGAAACACTCGGGTCTCAAACGCAGGCTTGCCAACCTCCACCCCAGTGTCCTAACCACACAAGCCACCATGCTCTTATTTTGATAGTTAACATGGAACTATTTGGGAAGTCCACAAAAAGAGGAATGCATCCTGGGTGATTTTGTTTTTGTTTATTTCAGTATATTTTAGGAAAAGAAAGATGACCGTGCTGGGAAGGAGGGATTGGGAAGGGGATATGATTTAACTTCATGAACGTATTAAAAAAATTAATATTGTCAATGGAAAATTGTAATCATAGCCACCTCTCATCAGTGGAGGTTGAATTGGGCATGTCATTGGCTACATATATTTGCATTTATGCAACTACACAGTATGTTTCCACTTCTAGTTTGATTTGTTTATCCAGTAGAAACATAAACTTGAGAGTGAATTTTTGAAGAATCAGGAACAAAAGACATCAGGGGCTGTTAACTTGCTTTGCGCTCCTCAAAGGAGAAGCATTAGCACAATATTGAGTGAAATTCATGATCTCACTAAGAGGTTCCTTGCAAATATTCTCCTGCTAATTCTCCTGCAAATATTCTCATGCTATTCGTTACAGCATGAATGCGGTATATAGAGGAAGAAAGGAGTTGATCAATACTGTGTGGTCCTTAAGCTATTTCACTTTACAGCACCATTCTCAACCTTCTTTGTATGCACATGCATATCAAGATCTCACATGCTCAGGAATTCTAATATTTGTTATACTAGTTAAGATGCTGGCCTAGAAACCAGGATACTGTGAGTTCTAGTCCCACCTTTGGCATGAAAGATTGTTGTTGTGGGGAAAATAGGACTATTAGGTATGTTCACCACTATTTCTAAAAATAACAAAAGCAGGTTAAAAATTGTAATAAATACACAGAATATCTTCAATTCCATTTCTATGGTTACAGGTACCCCTTTTAAATGTACAAAAAGAGCTGAGCTGGCAGGATGGGCTTGGGCTTGGACAGAGATCATATTAGGAGTAAAAGTATCATTATGAGAAAGTCAGCAAAAGGGGGCATAGGTTTTGCACAAATCGCACATTTTTCTCAATAAAAAAATACTGAAATTCATTTAGAAATAATTGCTAAGCAATAGAAAGAAAGAGAACCACCTCACCATTGAGAGAAACTCAATCTAGTGACATGAGTGCTTGCTCAGCTATTGCTGAGGGGGGGGGGCAGCAACGCCCCCTGGCTGCTTCTTTTCTTAAGGTTCTTTATCTTAAACTAGTTTTGATCTGGCTCACCCACTGGATAGCGCCATCCTCCCACTGGGGGCCATCAGAATCTCCTTGAAGCTGACAATTCCAAATGGCTCTACTCTTGGTTTTGTTTTTGGGAGGTTCAAACAGTAAGAAAAAGAAAAGAACAAATCAACATGTTCCTTTCCTTAACTGTAAAAAAAAAAAAGGGGGGGGGGAGATCAGGTCTGTACTGGGAGAAAACCAAGACAACCTCGGGGGGGGGGGGAATCAAGAACATTATCCAAAGAACATTTTGCTGAACCCCCATCCCTACCTCATTGCTTAAAGCACTAACGCTTTCTAGATATCTGCCTGTGTCTAGATATCTGCTAAGTTGGGATAGGATTTCTGCCGTTCCACAGCAGGATTATACATGTTAGTTAGCTCCATCTCTCCCCCCCCCAAATTAAAAAAAATTATAATTACCTCTGCACTTGGCATCTGAAGTTGCAGTACAGTCCTTCTCAATGACCTCATCCTCTTCACACACTGTGCAGGGGAAACAGGGATCTACATGGTTGGCGTCATCGGAATACGTCCCCGCCGGGCATTTCTCACACAATGTGTTCTGATTTTCCACACAAGGTAAGACAAGCCCGAAGCCCATTTCACAGATGCGGCACTGTTTACATTTATTGCTCTCATCCCGATAGAAGCCATAGATGCATTTGCAAATAGTGTTGTCTGATTCCACACAAGGAGCCGACATGCTCTCCAGGCCCACACACTCCTTACAGGGCTTACAGGGCTCGGTGGCACTCACTGTGTCTGAATAGCTGATGCCTGTAAAACATTGGAAGGTCAAAGTGAGTAAACTGAGTGGTGGGTTATGAAATGACTGAATTGAACACACTTCATTTGACCATGGGGGGCTCCTTTCATCCAGATATAGGCAACTCCAAGGAAGCTGGATGGTTATGGGGAAGTCAAGGGCTGAAATGTATGGGGCAGTGATACCAATCATTGCTCCATCATACAGATGGCAAAACTACACGTGCAAAATTGAGGAAGATGTTTGTTTTCTTTTGAGCTTATGTCAAGGAAGTAATGTGGATCCCTCGGGCAATCTAGACTCTTCTCACAATGCCTGTCAAGTTGACCTTCTAAAAATGATTCTTGAAATAAAAAATTAAAGCAAGGGCTGGCATGCTGCAAAATAAAGTACCAATCATCAGTATCACATTTGCTGTGGTGTTGTGAGGTCCCAGAGAAGCACGTATCCTGGGAGCAAGTTCATACTCTATAAATGGGTATTTTGTGATTGATCGATCAGACTTTGTGGTAGGCCAGGCCAGGAAACAGATGCAATAAGTTTGCCTGAAATTATACTTTATTAAACTTTACTTCTTTGTAACTATTTCTCTAACATCATCGCCATGACTTTTCACACTGCCCAAGCAATCATTCTTCGTCCATCACATGCTCTCAAATTTTCAAATGACTGTGCCTTAATTATTTGTCACTTACATGAATTTTAACCTAAAAACTGGAAAACACTGTACAATTTAGCATTTACACCACAAATGGCGATGGTTTTAAAGAGATGCAAAAATGGGTTTTAGAGACTCAGCTTGCTCACGTCTGCTTTAGCAGAAGATTAAAAAAAAAAAGGGGGGGGGGAATAAGACTTCTGCTTCCAAAGAAAACCAGTCCATACAGTTTGAGCCTGATAAACCATTATGGTGATGATGACAAGGTCAAGTGCTAAGATCTACCCAGCTCCCCTTGAATACTTGTAGTTGCTCTTCATCTTCTGATCATTGAACCTTGCCCTCCATGGCCATTTTGGGTTGGGCACTGAGAGAGATCAGGCACCTGGCTTCCACAGAGACATCTGATTTCTGGTGGTTATATCTGTTTAGAAAACAGGTGCACACCACCTGCATGGGAGATAGATCTGAACCAAGAAAAGGGCTGGTTCTGCCAACTGTAAGTTGTTGGTTCTGTTCCAAATGAATGCATTCCAATTTTCTACTGTTTCTCCTTACAAGAGAAACTTTTTACTGTTTTTATAATGGGGGAGGGGTGTGTTTTCCTTATCCAATTTTCCATAAGTTGCACAGGGAGTCTTTGGTTTCTCATTGTGCCTATCATTTGAGATATTTGAAGGCTGAAGAGAAATTGATAAGCGTTTGGTCAGTGTCCTCCATCTGGCCCAAGTGATGGGTTACAGGCAGAGCTGAAGGAAATGGGGGAGGCAGGAGTACACCTAATGCCCTTCACAAACCGTCCACCATACTTGGGACTTGATTATACCTGTCACCTGAAAGGACAAGCCTAGGATGACACTATAGGGAATTGTGCTGATGTGCCACACAATTTCCCTCCTCCTTCACATGTCTTCTCTCTCAATTAATCTATGATCCAGGTTATAAGTTTACCTGTATTCCAGAATAGCAGAAAGTTGATGTTCTGTGGCAGCCAAAACCAGGTTATTGTGGTGGATCACCTGTGCATTAGCAACCTGCTTTTTCATCCCAGGCACTCTCATACCCTTTTCAGTCTCTCTCTCTCTCTCTCTCTCTCTCTCTCTCTCTCTCTCTCTCTCTCTCTCTCTCTCTCTCTCTCATCATTCTATCCATCCATCCATCCATCCATCCATCCATCCATCCATCCATCCATCCATCCATCCATCCATCCATCCATCTATCTATCTATCTATCTATCTATCTATCTATCTATCTATCTATCTATCTATCTATCTATCTATCTATCTATCTATCTATCTTTTATGCCACCCATCTTCCCTCAAGGTGATTCAGTTGCCCAAGCCTGTCCCATCACATGTGAGTGCAGAGAAATAAAACTAGAGAAATCCACCAATCACTGCCCTTAAGTTGTCCCACAGATGTAAGGGATATATGACAGATGTACTCATCAACCTCATTTAATCTGAGTTTAGGTATAAGGGTACATCAAAGCTTTTTGCCTGCTCAAGAACTGGATGAAAATGCACTCTGAGGGAGAGCTTTATGGCTAGAGAAAAGGAAGAAGGGATCCACTATAATTTTGTCCTGGCTAAGGCAAGTGGACAAGGCTGTATAATTAGCAATGTTAGCACAAAGTCTCTTATTCCCAAAGAGTAGCTCTCTTTACTTACATTTCTGCAGTTTAAGATTGAGGTTGAGGTTAAGCAAGCATGTTGTTTTATTTGAAAGAGGCTAGAATGGATGCAGATATTCCATGATATCACTGAAACTGGACTGGCTAGTATTTCTGGGGTTTTTGTAGGCCTATCATTGAAAAATGAGTTGGTTTTGTGTGACCAAAAGAAAGCAACTTTTTTCCTATTATGCATTTTTTCCCTACTGAAAAGTAGTATTAAACTTTCATCTCTGTTCCTTGGCTTTTTTTTTTTCTCATAGAAATTTGATTTCTGGGACCTGAAGATTGCAAAATAGGAAGCTACATGTTACAAACTGTTTAGACTTATTGAAATCAAGGTTCAAAAATGTTTTGTTGACAAAAAATAATAACAGGTAATCAGTTTAATGGAAAATGTTTGCCTTTTCTTCCCGTTTTTTCACGTCAAACAGCAAGATTCTGGTAGGTTATTTCAAACAATTTTTTTTATAACACAACCAGGTTTAATTGAAGGAACCACAGACCTCCTGCATTTTAATGCTCCTAATCTCTTCTTGGCCTTTTGGGGTAAGATAAAACGTAGTAGGATTTTAATTTTCCCAGACCAAAGCACTTCCCCCATCACTATTGTTTAGATTCTATCCTTGGAATATCTTTGAAAGAACCTTAGTCTCGACCTACAGGAAAAAATAGCAAAAAAGGTTGTAAAAATCTGCATTATTCAATAACACAGAAATTCTGTTTAAATATAAAACCTAATATCTCCCCATCCCCATCCCCACTCCCCTACACAAACATAAATCATTGAAGCCAGTGATCATCATCACCTCTTTTGGTATGAATTATATGAATTAATTACAGCTTGTATAAAGGACAAGTAGTCCTCATCTTACAGCCATTCAAAATTAAAAGGCCACTGAAAAAAAATTATGACCACTCTCACACTTATCACTATTACAACATCCTTATGGTCATGTGAACAAAATTCAGGTGCTTGGTAACTGACATGTATTTATAATACTTGCAGCCTCCCAGGATCATATGATTATCATTTGTGACCTTCCCAGTTGGCTTTGGACAAACAAAATGTGATTCCCTTAACAACTGCAGTGTTTTACTTGACAACCATGGCAAAAATGATTGTAAAACTGGGCACGACTCACTTAACAACTGCCTTGCTTAGCAATGACAAGTCTGGTATCAATTGTCATAAGTCAAGGACTACCTGCATTGTCATTGGAAATTTCTGACTCTGTCAATCAGTTTTACTGTAAATTTGAATTCCAGATTATAGGATAGGAGTAAAACATTTCTCATTTTCCACATCATACATGACTTCCAAAGGGGTCTTGATCCTGAACAGTCTTTGTTTTAGCAAAATTATTTTGTATGGTTTCTAAAAAAAGAAAATGATGGTTAAAGGTTCTTTTCCACAAAGCAGTGGAACCAAACTAAACATGCTATAGAAATTTAGCTATTGATATTTGGTTTTCCCATTTAACTAAATAGAAACAATTATAGAAACTTATGGAAGTAAAAAGGTTAAGTCATATCTCTTCTCAATGCCATAATCTTACTCTCAAACTCTACTGTCAAGTTGCTCTTACTTTAGGATAATGAAGTACTTCGTGGCTTATCTCATACTCTACACCAGGGGTGTCAAACTGGCAGTCCATGGGCTGGATGTGTCGTGTGCAGGCCATGCCCATCCCAGCTCCACAAAGGCAAAAAACGTTGAGTTTGACACCAGTTGCCCATTGAAAGACTTCAAGCAAGACACAATTGGATCTTGCATTTCCCAATAACTGTTATTAGAAGCTAACTCTCAAAAACTGGGTATAATATGTAGAAATCGTGACTAATAAGCATTAATGACTTTAGCAGTCATAAACTGGTCTAATGTTCTATGTTTGTATTAGTGGGCATCATTACCTCTCATGGTAATGAATTCCACAATTTGGCTGTCAAGAATAATTCCTTTTTAATCTGTCCTAAATCCCCCAATATTCAATTTCATTGGGTTGACTTTGAGTTCTAACTTGAATCACATCCACTTTGTTCACATGTGTAATGTATTATATACAATTATATTAGGTTACCCTTTATTCAACTTATTTTTCCTTAAGCTAAAACCCCATAAATCTTAATCAAGTTCTTTGATTTTATATGCACTTTGGCTATTACAGTATAATAGCAATTCCCATAAAATTTAATAAATTTGTTTCCAGAAAATGGAAATGGAATTCCATACTTATTTACTTTACTTTACTTTACTTTTACTTTTATTTAATTTCTACCCCGCCCTTCTCCCAACGGACTCAGGGCGGCTTACAGCTATTTAAAACAATACATAATACAATAAATACTAAATTTAAAAAGTAATTAAAACAAAATATTAATTGGCCATTTCTTTTTAAAATTGTTTTAAAACCAGATTAAAATATCCCTTAGGCCAGACCTGCTAGCTTAAATAGCCATGTCTTGAGGGCGCGGCGGAAGGAGGGGAGATCCGGAATCACCCGGATCTCTGGGGGTAGTTCATTCCATAGGGTGGGGGCTCCAACCGAGAAGGCCCTCCCCCTGGGGGTCGCCAGCCGGCACTGTCTGGCTGACGGCACCCTGAGG